GGTCCTTGGGAAACATTGATCCAGGTAGGTCAGGGTCACATCTGTGCAGCAAGCTACAGAATCACTCGGCCATGGCTTCTAACACTCTCCATACCAACGAGAAAAGGACAAATAGATTTTCAGAGGTCAATCTTTTTTAAAATGTGTTTAGTACAGGGTTTTTAAAATGTATTTTCAGACATCACTCTTATGTCATTCTTACTTAGAAATTATGACCTCAGAAGGTGTCACTGGGCTTTGGTGGCCTGCAGGATAGGCAGAACTCCCTAACACCTTTTAATAAAGGTCAGGATCAACACAGGATGACAGGCCAGGCTCTGAAAATAAGGCACCAGGCTCTACACTTGGAGAGGACACAAAATGCTTCTCTCCTTTTCACATTTCCCAAAGAATGACCTTAACAAGGGGCAGAGGGCATCTCGGTCACCAGAGAGGCTACCTATGCCTCTGCCAAGAAATGGGAGGATATTTATTGGTTGGGTTCTAATAACTTCCACACCAGCATCACCCTGGCTACTCTGCACACAAATGGGCATGTGGAAAGCTCTGTGCTCTAGAGATCTGGCACTCTGTCTAAGCAACAGAAAAGCCTGGGGCCTGACCCCATCCCCACTCCCAGCTGTCCAAGTAGGTCTCACCTGAAGACCGGAGAGCAGTTTGCCTACTGTTGTTGTTCATCTGCCTGAAGAAACTATCTTGGAGTAGGGCAGCAGCTATGACCCGTTTGTTAGGATTAGGCTCAAAACAGGATAAGATGAAGCCTCTAGCTTTAAATGAAAGGGTTCGTGGAATATCAGGATGGATCTTAAACATTACCATCTGCATGGAAGAGAGAGGTAACAGATGTGTTAGTGAGGGCTTCTGTGATTGCTATCTCTATACCCACTACAATCTTATTCCTGCCCCTTCTATCCACAAATGGAGTCTATTTCCCCATCCCTGGCATCCTGGCTGGCCTCTTGGGATTCTGCTTTGACTGAGAGATAGTGACTGAAGCAATATTGTAAAAGTTTTAGAAGATAGGTTCTAAAGGACTTCATAGTCCCTGCTCTAGTCCTCTTGGAGTCCTGAGACCACCCCACTATACATGAACAGAGCCCAGGATGAGTGACCATGTAGACAGCCTTGTCATTGCAACTTCTGCCTTGAGAGAGGCCCTCCTAGACAATTATGCCCCAGCTCAGTCATCTGACGGATGCACCCACAGGAGTGAGCCCTCTTCAGCAAAAGAGCCAATAGTCAGCTCTCAGTGAGAAACAAGTGATTGTTGATTTACACATCTATGTGCAGAGCTGGTTTGTTACATAGCAGAAGAGTACCAAAAGGGACTTGTTACATGACTTGGGGTAGGAGAGGCTCACTCTGAGAATATACAAAGGTAACTGCTACCTATATCCAAGAGACACCCCATACACTTCTGAATCTTGATGTATCCACAGCCCAGATCTCCAATCTCTAGCTCTAAGCCACAAGCAGGTAAAACCTGAGGCCGCTACCTCACAGAGAAGTGAATGTCTCATATCTCATCATCCATAGCCAGTGGGGAACAGTGCGCCACAGGAGAGGTACTATTGTTAGAATGACTGCTTCAGCTCCTACTTCTGGTCACCTAATCCTGCTAAAGGGTCTCTGTTCTGGTGACCCATAATGGAGAGTTAGTCCCCAGCTATCACATCCACAACATGGGAATGCTTCTATGACACAACTTGCAAAACTCCTTCCTGTGTAATTGTCCATTGGGGGTGGTTCTTCAGTCTTTTCAGGTTGTCATCTTTAAAGTTCATGGTCTTCCCTGTGTCTTTTCCCCAACAACTCTGAGTGAAAGCCATTCTGTCTTCCAGATCTACACTCCTTTCCAGGTCCTCAGCAGTCTCAGAGCCTGGCTCAACCTCCTTTGCTCCACTGTGAGATCTGGGGGCTGTACAGCCTTATGACCTCACCCCCCATAGGCCCTTGAGTAGGTAGATATGTCTCATTCTTAGGATACTCATGGAAAGGAAAGGTAGCTCAGGAGTTTGGGTTTTTTGATAACACTAAATGCTGGATGGAATCCAATCAGCAAAGTTCAAAATGCATGGTATATTAATAGGTAACATCCCTCACCTGAACAATAGGGATAGATGTCAGCAATGCCTACCAGTACTAGGGTGTACAGATACAAAAATTCAGGACAAGAATCTAAAGAGGAAAGCAATGGCTTTCCCTCTGGCCCTCAGAAAGCAAAAAGCACAAGTGGACAGCACCTTAGGACCCTGCAAATTCGTTGCTTTTAAGGGTGCTTTGCTAAAAATCAAATGTACCCTGTATTAGTATGTAGGGCTGCTAAATCAAACTACCACAGACTGCTATCTGGGTGGCTTAACCAAAAATGTAGTCTTTTAGTTCTAGAGCCTGGAAGTTCAAGGTCAGGCATTACCAGGGCCAGAGGTTTCCTTCTAAAACCTGTAACAAATGCTTTCTTGCCTCTTCAGTGCTTTGGGGCCTTCTAGGCCATCTCTGATGTTCCTTGGCTTATAGATTCATCACCTCAGTCCCTTGTCTTCAAGTGGCATCATCTTTGTGGGTCTTTAGTGTTCTTTCTGTATGTGTTTCTATGCCAAAATATCCCCTCTTTTAATAAGGTCACCATTCATGTTGCACTAGAGCCCACTTTACTGGCCCAACTTTAACTTGATTATAGTATCTCTGTAAAGACTCTATTTCCAAATAAAGTCACATTCTGAGTTACTAGAGGTTAGGATTTCCATATATCATTTTGGGTAATACAAACCCATAACAGTCCCTGTAGAGGAAGAATGACTTCTTTTGTTTCACACACTGCTCAGAAATTTCTTGTAATTTTTCTAAAGGATTCTAGGATCCCCAAAATAAATGACAGAGGACATAATTTCATACTTTTTTGCTGGCAAAAAAACTAACTTCAGGGCTGGGGAGATGGCTCAGTAGAATAGGCGCTTCCCTGGCAAGCGCAAGGGCCTGAGTTCAATCCCTGGTTCCACCAAAAACAAACAAACCAAAAACTAACTTCATATGTCACACAGAAAGCCAATTGATTAGCTAAAAAATTGAACAGCTAATTAGCTAAACAAAAACAGGAGACAGGAAGAATACAGGAGTGGGCGTACATCCTGTGGATGAAATAAGAAAGTTATAGCCTTCCTCTTGGTTCCTGAATTTTATAGGAAGTATGGATCAGACAGCAATCATGGCTCTCAGGTAGGCCCTATGTTTTTCGCAACATCAGCTGATTCATAATTTGTTTCACAATTCTGGAAAACATAGGCACCTGTATATTTGTAAGTAAAGATGGCCATGATCATGTTTGTAATCCAATGCAGAGTTCACAAACAAAAATAAAATTTTGGCAAATGTTTGTTTGTAAACCAAATTGTTCACAAATTAAAGCGTTCATAACCTGAAGTATTTAATGGAAGCCATGGGTAAGATCTTCAGTGGCCCCAATTGAATCCATTGTGGATAGTAATGTGCTGAAGGGAGATCCAGGAAGAGTCATCTGGAACTGTGCACTACCGGACTACGTCAGTGCACCACGGTTCATTAATCATAAGCAATGGCCACTTGGCCTTTTGCAACCTATCGTTGTGAATAAAAATGTTCCATGAAAGGTCAAAAGCTGGCTATATATTCTTAGGGCTGGAGCCCCTTAAATGTTTTTAGGTATACTCGCAGTAAGAAGCTGGGGGCCTAATCTTGGGCACACAGGACTGTCCTGGCATCAGCTTCCTGTGAGATTACCAGTAAGTACAACCCTTTCTAAGAATCCAATTGCCCAGTGGTAAAATCATCACCCATATCTGGTAATTTGTACTATGTTAACCTCAGCACATGGAATGCCCTTCTATCAGCTCTGGAGAGTTGTTAGAATGATAAAGAATACATCATCTAGTATTTAAAATCCCACTCCCAAATCCAGTCAGAAACCTGTCCTCCAAAAATGTAGACTGTACTATGACCTGATATAGAGCCTTACTCTGGGTAAGGGCAAATGCAAATATGAGGATTTATTGTACCTACTAAATATAAGGGAAGATGATACCACCTTTTCCTAGAGAATTAAGAAAATTTCTAATAGTGTGTGCCTTCTCTATCTCTTTGGGATATATGTAAATCTTCTAAGAAGCTAAATAAGCCTCTTGTAAAAAATATCATTCCCAAGGCCTCGGAACAACTACTTTGAATTGTAATCATGGTGGAACATAGCTATCTCTGTTTCTACAGAGGAAAGGTGACTAACTTTATAGTTCCTTGTGCTAAAACTACCTCCTGCCTTGAAGATATGGCAAGCTCGTTTTTTTGCATAAAGCCAATAACCTAACAAATGATCACTTCAAGTACCAGGTAAATCTAAGGTAAGACATATGTGACAAATGGTGCTGTTGAGAGTCCTCTTTCTTGAGGACTATTTGTCTTGAGAATGTGATTTATAATGGGTTCTATCTGCTTGGTTATATAAAAGGATGGAATTTTAGCTGACATTTGATGGTGTATCCCTATAATCCTAGCTACTTGGGAGGCCAAGGGAATAAGATTACAAGTTCAAGGTCAGCCTGTATAGCTTAGCAAGACCCTGTCATAATTTGTTTTCATGAATTTAAAAAGTAGAAAGGGCTGGGAATATATCTCTATAGTACATCCATTTGTATAATATCCAGTGTCAAAACAAAAAAGTTTCATTTCCATCTTTGCAGTGTTAGTGGATTGTCTGATATACCTTCATTACGACCTGACACTTACATAATAATCAAACTTCTTTCCTCCTTTTGTAGGTAGATTTTCTAGATTGAGAAGAGATTTTGTTTTTAATTACATTTGTCCTATACCTAAACTACCCAAATGACCAGGCATGTCTTACGTTGAGCAATGCTCTCTGTGGTTCATGAGGCTGACGGAATGGAGGCCTGCCGGTGGCCATTTCTATGATGGTGCATCCCAGGGACCAGATATCAGCTGGTGTACCATACCCACGAGATCCGTTTTCTATAACCTCCGGAGCCATGTAAGTGCCTGTAAGGAAAACAAATGAACAAAGGTTGGGGGCACTATATTGCTAATACCCAAATAATTATTAGTAATTGTGAGGTTTTAAATTGCCTCATTAATGGCAGATGAAGCCTCTTCTTATGCATAATATAGTTACATCATCTTTTTTGACCAGACACATGCAACATGCCTTCTTTTAATACTAGTCACACCAAAAGAGGATTACTTGGCTCCTCAAATGATAAATGGGATTGTTTCAATAAGCACTTTTTAGCACATGTCAAATAAAAGGAAAGTGGAATATGAGAAATATCCACTTATTATAAGAGCTACACTAATGGTGGTAGTGGCAGCAGCAATGATGATAAAATGTGATAGCTGATATGAGAAAGGCATATACAGAAGATTAAGAATATGGACTTTAAAAATGGCTCAAATTGGCCCAGGGCTTTCAGGCTAAAGATGGCAGCCTCTGTAGAAAGGGGTGCTGTGGTGCTGCATATAAGCATTAACCGGCTGGTTGCTTTTGTCAGGAAAATTCCCTGGACTGCAGAGTCAAATGAGCTGAGAGACTACTTTGCTCAGTTTGGCCATATATAAAAGTATACCGTTTCTTTTAATAAAGAAACTGGCTTTCATAAAAGTTTGGGTTGCACTCAGTTTTCTTCAGATGAAGATCTGTAGAATGCAATCTAACATGAAAATCACATAATTGATAGAGTCCATGTTCAACTTCGAAGACCAAAAAATTTGCAAGGGGATCAAGCACCTGTCAAAGAGAAAAGTTTCTGAGATAATTACTGCCCATTAAATAAACACAAAGCATAAAAAGGGCTCAATTTTGCCTGACCTGAACCAGAAAAAATCTATGATTCTGTCAATTTTTGTTTCTAAGAAGCAAATGCCAAGACAAGGTCAGACATACAAGAAATTTATTGGGGAGATCTATGAAGGATACAAGGAGAAGGTGCAAGACTAACAGAGTGTGTCAGATTCTAATGAAATTCTAACTCCTGTGAAGAACTGAGTAGCAAATATCTTCAGATGGCACTTCTTTGAGAGCACTCTATCCAGGTCACCAGTAAGTCCCTGGCTAAAATGTGCCCACTGGAAGAATCCCACATTGTCTCTAGGACTCTTGCCAGCGTCAGTCCTTGGTAGAAAGCAGCTTAGGGAAAGTATGACTTTGCCATGAACATGAATGTTAGTCCAAGGGTCAGCAGCTGGCACTGACAGTAAGGTAGGTTCTTGATGAAAAGGCCAAAGAGGTAGAGGAAGGGTTAGGGGGATGTGCAGGTGAAAGGAGCTTGAACAAAGAACATGAATGTGACAAATTGAGCCCAGGGAACAAGTGACGTTTGATCCAGGGCACAGTATAGGAAGAATTAAAGGGGCAAGGTCACATCCCAGATGGCGATCTATATGTTCTGAAGGCTCCAGCTTTGGACTTTTTTTTGTGGCACTGGGGACTGAACTCAGGACCTTGTGCTTGCCAGGCAGGGTCTTATGCTGCTAAGCTGGCCCTTGGACTTTCTTTAGAGGGTTATGAGCCACAAGAAGATGCCATAAAAAAGACAATGATCAGATATGGTAACATGAAAGCAAAGGGATTATTGATAGGAAAGACACAGGGCAGGGAGCAAAATGTTTAGTTTTCCTTGAAACTAAGCATGAAGAATGGGGAAATTTGGATGTGACAGCAGCAGATGTTATAGTCTGGCTAGAAGATTTAGAATAAGACAGCAAACCAGAGATAACTATAATTAAGGCCTCTCTAGATCACACAACCACATCAGGTTGTGTGATGTAAAAACAATAGGTTCATCAGTTAAAAACTTTGGAGAAGATATCAATAATCTTGATATCATGAAGTCCAATGTCTTACTAGGATTTTTCTTTCCTATGAACATTGTAAAGGTACTAGGACAGCTATGACCAAGAGAATGTTCCACAATGATGGAAATGTTCTATTTTGTGCAGTCTAATGTGGTAGCCATTAGCCACATGTGTGCGTTGGGCTGCTGGAATGTGACTAGTAAGACCAAAGAAATAAGTTTTGAATTAGTCTAACTTTATTCAGTTTCAACTGATTTAAAATTAAATATAAATCAGGCTGTATTAATGAGTCAAACAGTCTTTAGAGCTGAAAACTTTGTGGGAAAGGGTTCAGTCAATTGCAAGTTCGCCAAGATGCAGGTGCATCACATGTGATACACTATGAGGAAATCCAACAGCCCCAGGAAGGGAACTTTCAGTGATATAACATCTCCTATAGGTTGTTGCTGCTGTGAATAACAGAAAGAGAGATGTTGGCAGGAATGTGCCTCCTAATGAATTATTAATTCATTAATTAAGGAATGATTGAACATTATACTATTTATTAAGCTGTCATCTCTCAGCTCTGCTCTAAGATGCTGAGTCTGGGACTCCAGAAACCCTATCTATTTTTTGTCTATAGCTAGCTCCCTATGAAGTTCTGCAACTAGGCAGCAGTAGAGAGATCCTGGAAAGCTGGATGGGGGACTCAGGATCCAGGACATATACCATACCTTCCACTATTCTATTCATTATAAGTGAGTCACTAAGTCCAGTCCACATACAAGAAGAAGTGATTTAACAAGGGTGTAATATCAGGAGGTGGGGATTACTGGAGATCACCCAGAAAGCTGGCTTCCACATCTGACTTCTGGTTGGCATGTGATGGCTTACAAAGTATCTCCATGTATTATTGTCCATCTAGCTCCCATAGCTCTGTAAGCTGGGCAGAGGAGCTCTGGGTGTGGATGGAACCAATCAATAGGGTTGTAGCCTGGATGCAATAAAAAGGGAGGAAGGGCTGGCCAAATAGCTCAGTGGATTAAAGCGCCTGCAAGTAGGCACAGGGGCCAGGGGTTGTTCCCCGGGGCCTGTCCTATTGGCCTCATCCCTGGGGCGTGCTGAGATGGAAATTGAGACTGGGCGTGGTGACACGTGCCTATAATCCCAGCTCTTGGGAGGCTGTAAACAGGTGGATAACTATGAGTTTGACCTAGTAGTGAGACCCTGAACACCCTGTAGACCCTTCCCTAAAATACAATAAATAAAAAAATAAAAATAAAAAGGGAGGAACTCCAGGCTTCACCATCACCTTTGGATATCCAGCTCCAAATTACCAGCACAAACTCATTAGCCTTCCAGCATATGCCCTTCAGCTTCTTGATACAGCCTTGCACAGAATTCTGCAGTGAGTTCCAGGCCATTGACTTTTGACTGAATCCTCTGGCTCTCCAGAAAACAGCCCTTTTGTATTCCCCTACACCTGACTCTGCAGGCAGTCACTGTAAGATGTGTCGGTCAGTCAGTCAGTCTGTCTGTCTATCAAATCTAATATATAATCTGTCCCTCTAGCAGTGAACCCTAATACAAGACCCTATCTACTATTAATCAATTTTTATGAAGAGAACAAAAAATGTGGTTCAGAGAGGCTAAAGGAATTTGCTGAAATTAGAACCCAGTCTTCTGCCTTCACGTTCAAAGAACACATGACATTGCTGACCCATGTAATATGCTAAAGAGAAATTCTGCTGAAAACCTTAATAAGCACAGCTGATGCAAAGATTTCAAAAGCCATATTGTTGCTTTCCTCCCATGTAACTGGAAGGTACAGGGCAATGGTGGAGATTAAGTACACCATTTGATTCACTACTGTATTCATGGAGTAACTATCCAACATAGAAAGACAGATGGAACCACCACATGAGTACTGTGAATGAGCAATCAAACATCCCCAAGCAGTATGCATGTTGGAGGTGAGTATCAGGTTAGATTATGTAGAGAAAATCAAACAAACATGGCACTCTGGGGTATCTGAATTCTGCACAAATACTGAGAAGTTGGTGTGCTTTACCTCTGACTCTCCTAGAGGCCTCATCTCCCTAACTAAACTCCTTCCAAGGAGTGCCCTTTCCCCTGGTCTTTCAATCATCAGCCATGATTTTTAGACACCTACACTAGGTCAGTGGTAGAATTCAGGATAAGGTGTCCAGCCTCAACCCATAGACATAGAATCCATGGGTAACTCCTTGACCACTGTTCAAGAAGGAGTTCCAAATTACCAACAAAGAAAACACATGGTTTTTTGACTAAGGCGCAAAGCTATAGTCAAGATCTCACAGCAAGAGATAAGTTGGGGACCAAAGATATCTAATTTCAACATTCTTGAACTTAAGGGCTGCCCATCTAGATCAATGGATTCAAAGGATTGGAAGAAGATAAATTAGGTAATGGGGGTGGGTATTGTAGGCAGCCTATTTCAAGAGCTGTGCTATGCTGTGCTGTGCTGTCTACTCTGTGCATTAAGAGTTGGAGCAAGGCTGTCCTTAGAAAGGCATGGGCCCATAGTGGTTCAAGCTACTCAATATTGACTCAGATAATGGTGCTTGACAGGCCATACATGTAAACGTCTGCTATAAGCCCCTTGAGATACTGTTAGACCCCAAACTTTAATATTAATGTAAAAGTACACAAAAGAGAAGTGTTGATGGCCATACCACCTTGAACATACTCGGTCTTTTCTGATCTCAGAAGCTAGGCCGAGTTGGGCCTGGTTAGTACTTGGATGGGAGAACAGAGAAGCAGTACACAGTCTCCCAAGGCAGTGAGAGCTGCCCTCATAGACATACACAAACAATTAGACTAGTCAGGAGCAACACTTCTTCTGAAACCAAATCCTTTGAACTACTCAGACTTTGATATGTACATATATCCTCTATAGGTAAGTTACAGAGAACTGGATCCACAGGAAACAAAAGTCAAAGCAAACAAACAGTGTAATGCTAGGTCTGGGGATAATGCCCACCATGTTGACAGTGAGTTGAAGGTGGATGAAGCCCAGACACCAGAGGTGAGACCTATAGTAAAAATATTGGTTTATTTAAGATGAATTCTGCTCTTTAAAAGGCAGTCCCTTCCAGAATCTGAATCCCTCCATGGAAAAAGAAGTGAGTAGAACATGAAAGGTAAGTGGCTACAGAAACCAGGGTGGA